CCCGTTTGCCTCCTCTGCAGTCCTCCACAGGACATTCCCGTTTGCCTCCTCTGCAGTCCCCCACAGGACAGTCCCCGTTTGCCTCCTCTGCAGTCCTCCACAGGACATTCCCGTTTGCCTCCTCTGCAGTCCCCCACAGGACAGTCCCCGTTTGCCTCCTTTGCAGTCTCCCACAGTGCAGGTCTCATTTGCACCCTCTGCAGTCCTCCACAGGACATTCCCGTTTGCCTCCTCTGCAGTCCCCCACAGGACAGTCCCCGTTTGCCTCCTCTGCAGTCCCCCACAGGACAGTCCCCGTTTGCCTCCTCTGCAGTCTCCCACAGTGCAGGTCTCATTTGCACCCTCTGCAGTCCTCTACAGGAAAGTCCACGTATGTCCCCTCTGTAGTCCCCCACAGGACAGTCTCTGTTTGCACCCTCTGCAGTCCTCTACAAGACAGTCCCCGTTCGCCCCCTCTACAGTCCCCCACAGGACAGTCCTCGTTTGCCTCCTCCACAGTCCTCCACAGGACAGTCCCCGTTTGCCAACTCTGCAAACCCCCAAAGGACAGTCCCGGTTTGCCCCCTCTGCAGTCCCCCATGGAATAATCCCTATCTGCCCCCTCTGCAGTCCTCCATGAGACAGCTGAAGGCACAGCTGGTTTACCGCATGCCTGCAGTCCCTGACACGCAGCCAAGCGAGGAGCTCACTAGGGGTACAGATAGCGAAGTGACCTTTGCTCATGATGACTTACTGCCAGTGGAGCTTCATATCACGCTTTCTCTCAAAATGGTGAACTAAATCTCCATCTATCTTGCATATTTATCAGTAAAATTTACTTTTAGACTAATATCCAGGGGAGATCTCTAGAGTGAAGACTCTGAAACACCTGGCAAAGTTAAGAAAGAACTTAATCTGACGTGGCAAGTGATGAACAGTAGCTAAAGGGACCGTAGGGTTTTCTGAATCAAATAGCACATAGTTTAAGACAACAGCAGACATCCACTGGCAGACAGTCAATTTCATTTAGTTTATGGCTGAACTAGTCCTTTACAAACCATCCAGATATTAAGGAGATTGTATTTTTATTTCAAGAAATCTCCAGACTTTACATTTCATCTTAGTCACAAAGGAATTATACTCAGCTAATTAAGGATGAGGTGGTAACAGCTAACTTGCTAGCAGCAGACTGATGATCAAATTTCTTGATGTCAAGGTTACCAGTTGTCTTGTTTTTCTGTTTGTTTACATTAATGAATATAACATAACTTGCACATAGCAATAAAGGCTTATTTTAAAAAGTCAGAAGTCAGAGAGCCCACCATTTCAGTGACTGTCTTAGAAAACAGGGATGCACCGATTCGATGCTGATATCAGATATCCACCGATACTGACTCAAATAGCTGGATCGTGTATTATGACAACGGGGCCGATCTATGGGACTGATCTATTCAACTTAGTTCTCTGTTATTGTGTGTTTACATCCACGTCCAAGTACTACCTCATGCGTCAGCAGTGAGCTGGTAGACCCGTCCATTTTGCTAGAAGTACAGCTAGCATAGCATGGAGGGAGTTAAAAAATCAGCAGTTTGCCAGTATTTCATGCTTTATGTTGCTACACCAACAAGTTCTACAGCTATTTGCAGTATGTACAGTGTTTCAAGGGGTGGTGGTACCTCCCTAAACAATAACAGAACTAACTTAATCAGACACCTCTAGATGAAGAACACAATGAGTTCATCCGAACAAAGAAAAGGGGATGATTTGAAGAAACAGTGAACTTTCCCAGATGGATTGTAAAGATGCAAGAAATTTCTTGGTAACAGTGTGAAAGCACCAAAAATAACAGAAAAGGTTCTCAAATTCATTATTCTGGATGAGCGACCCCAGACAATGATGAAAATGAAAGCTTAAGAACATAAGGACATAAGAAATTTACAAACGAGAGGAGGCCATTCGGCCCATCAAGCTCGTTTGGGGAGAACTTAACTAATAGTTCAGAGTTGTTGCAATCTTATCTAGCTCTGACTTAAAGGAATCCAGGGTTTTAGCTTGCGCTAAACTAGCAGGAAGAATATTCCATATTCTAACTACACGTTGTGTAAAGAAGTGTTTTCTCAAATTCATTTTAAAATGTTCTCCCGCTAATTTCCACTTATGGCCATAGGTTCTAGTATTTAAACTAATATTGAAATAACCATTTGGATGAACAGCATCCTGACCTGTTAGAATCTTATATACCTGGATCATGTCCTCCCTTAGTCTCCTTTACTCGTGGCTAAACAGATTCAGCTCAGTTAACCTCTCCTCATAAGACATTCCTCTAAGATCAGGAATCATTCTTGTAGCCCAACGTTGAACCATTTCCAAGGCAGCAATGTCCTATTTAAGGTTTGGTGACCAAACCTAAACACAATTTTCTAGGTGGGGTCTTACCAAGGAATTGTATAATCGGTGCATCACCTCCCTTGACTTAAACTCCACACACCTAGAGATGTAACCTAACATCCTATTGGTGTTTTTTATTGCTTCCCCACACTGGGGAGCATGGGACATGGACGCATCAACATACACACTGAGGTCTTTCTCATAATCAACTACCTTTATTTCAGTGGAACCCATAAAATATCTGTACTTTATATTTCTACTCCCTGCATGGATTACCTTACATTTATCTATGTTAAATTTCATCTGCCAGGTATAAGCCCAGTCGCTAATTAAATCAAGATCCTATTGTAGCCTCTGCGCTGCTAGATCAGTATCTGCTACACCACCCACCTTGGTGTCATCTGTATGTATGTATGGTGTCAATATCATTAATGTAAATTAGGAACAATAATGGTCCTAAAATTGAACCCTGCGGTACCCCACTATGAATGCAGACCTACTGTGACACTGTGCCTCTAATAACTACCCACTGCTTCCTGTCTGTTAACCAGTTTTCGATCCAAGCTGCTACAGTTCCTAAAGTCACTGCAGTTTTGATCTTAAGCAAGAGCCGTTTGTGGGGGACAACATCAAAGGCCTTCTGGAAATCTAAGTAGATCATATCCTAGGCTTTTTTGTGATCAATTTCTCTTGTAGCTTCCTCAAAGAACTGAAGTAATTAGTTAAACAGGATCTACCTTTCCTAAATCCACATTGGCTATCTCTCAGAATGTTATGTGAATCCAGGTAATCTACCATTTTCAATTGGATTATAACTTCCATTACTTTTCCAGTTATGCAAGTTAAATTGATTAGCCTATAATTTTCTGGATTACTTCTATCCCCTTCCACCACCTGATAAAACAAATGGAGCTAAGGTACAGTTTACCATCACAGATATATTTTTCTGAGACCACTGTACCTGAAGAAAGTGTGCTAACACATCAGAATAGTTAAAAGATGTACCAACGATGAGCTTCACCAGAAATATCTGGAACTCCGACGTGTGCCCATTGTCACTTTTAAGCTTAACACTGGTTACCAAGTTAGTTGTTTATACTACTTGTTTGAATTGTGACTTAATTGATAAAGTTTGTTTCCACTAGTTTGTGACTTAATTGTGATTTAATATTAAATTTTTTCTCATTTGACGCAGTTGTATTGTTTTGCATTGGAATTTTAATTCCTGGCCAATTTATTTTTTAATTAAAAGGCTTACACTTGAATTGCAATTCCTGTTAATCTTGAAGATTTTTACCAAGCTGCTGGCATGATTATTTATTTTAATAATAAATAACAATTCAGTAAACTTAAATGTGTGTGTGTATGCATATATGTATGTGTGTGTTTATTTGTCACATTTGTTTTAGTTATGAATGCAGATCAAGCCTGATGTTGCCTTACACACCAAAGAATGATCCTAGTCTCTGCATGGAAGACACATGGAGCCATCCAATGTATTAATTACACAGCAGTATTGAATCAGTACTTGATATTGGCTTGTCCCCAAAGCCCAAGTACCATTATTGGTATCTGTACTGAAAAGTCAGATCGGTGCATCCATGTTAGAGAACTGTACTGAGGACTATTGTCCTATTTGTTCTTATCCCTTATATTTCTAATTCAACATTTTTTTCATATTTCCACCCCCAGACCATTTATAAAAGGAGTAATTAATGCCATAGTCAACAAGGGAAGCACGCAGTATTCATTATCTTCTCTTTTTTTGGAAATTTAGAGATTTATTTTTTACATTTAGTAATATAGCATATGTTTAGTAAAATAGTGAAGTCCTACAGGGCAAAGAGTTGCAACAGCAAACCTTACAACCTTACAAAAAGCTTACAAAAGCGGTGAAGGATTGCGGTCAGTGAGCAGTGGCCTGTACTAGGAAGCGAGGTTACTGGCTTATGGGGGTAACTTGTCGGATTTAAGGTACTAGAGTTTAAATGGACTTCATATTCGTTCACTTACATTTTGCCCAGGCTACCTTAAATCCGACAAGTTACCCCGATAAGTCAGTAACCCCGCTTCGTAGTACAGGCCCCAGGTCAGCCAGTATTCAGTGGCATGAAGGGCCTTGTTCAAGAGCCCGGCAGCAATACAATAACGATGCCAGCAAAGGACTGGAACCAACATATAGTCACAGATCCCCATCCCACCGCCCTTTGCCTACAAGCCTGCAAAGATATAGTAAGATTTAGGCACTCTTTGCTCCTGTGACACAGGACCGAAATCGGCTTAGGGTTAGCAGCTAGAGTTGTTACTTTGATATGTAATATAAGATTCTGGCCCTCTTTGCCAGGCCTACCTCAGTGAGGTGCGGGTTGGGATTGAAGCCGCACTGGCCGCACACCACCTGGCGACACTGGGTACAGGTGTTGCTGCTGTCTGCCTTCAGGTCCGCCGTCTTGCACACAGGGCACAGGTTGCTGCTGGGCATGGGAGCAATCTGCGGCACAGTGTACGGCGAGGCTGGCGCACTCCCGCCTCCATCGGGTGCTGAGGGAGTCTTCCCACCCTTATCAGCTTGGGTCGGGGGTGCACCCTGTTTCGCCGCAGGGGGCTGTTTGTCCAAGGCCTGCCTTCCTGCCCCCGCTCCTCCATCCCCTCCGCTGGGCTGGGGTTTCTTCGCAGGTACGCTGCAGTGGTGAGACACTTGGGTCAGACTATGCTGACAGCCTCCACACTTCCACTACCCATGCTGATCTACTGCACCTCCACTATCCAAGCTAAACCTCCATACCCACCACCCATGCTGAGCCTCCGCACCCCCTCTCTCCAAGCTAAGCCTCCATACCCACCACCCATGCTGAGCCTCCGCACCCCCTCTCTCCAAGCTAAGCCTCCATACCCACCACCCATGCTGAGCTTCTGCACCTCCACCACCCATGCTAAACCTCCATACCCACCACCCATGCTGAGCCTCTGCACTCCCACTATCAATGCTGAGCCTCTGCACCCCGACTATGTCAAAACTCTGCTTCACCCATTACAGACAAAATAACAATAATGCTTTTCAGTTCGAAACATTCGATTAGCACCAATGTGCATGAGTCAGCATTTCATTATGTGTAAAATGAGGATAACTTTCTAGGAGAAATTACTCAAAATTGTTCAGCAAGTATAATTAGATTGGTACATTTTTAAAGCATTGTTACAAGTTACTCATAGTAATACACACTTCTAAAAATCAGATGAACTAAAATTAATTTAACAATTGAATCATTATAGTCTTTAAGGCTTTAACACTTTTGTGTTTTGCCTTACTCTGCATTCAAAGTAACAATATGAACAAATTATTCCCATTACTGTTTTATACACTGCCCGGCCAAAAAAAAGTCGCCATTTGAATTTATATAAGCAAATACTTATGAGGCAATGACTGGATTATTATTACAGCTCAGCAACGTTATGCAGCAATAAAGTAAAGTCAGCTGAGTACCTGAATCTACTGAATGGCCAGGTTACACCTCCATCCATCATCAATGTATTTTTTCTTCCCTGTTTTATTGCCATATTCCAGGACAAGAATGCCAAGATTCTTTGGGTTCAAATTGTCAAAGAGTGGTTCAGGAAGCATGAGAAATCATTTTCACGCATGACTTGGTCACCACAGTTGTGATCTTAACCTCATTGAAGGGCTTTGGGATGTGCTGAAGGAGGCTTTATGGAGTGGATCAACTCACTTGTCAATACAGGATCTCGGTGAGAAATGAATGCAAATCTGGATGAAAATAAAGGGTGAGATGTTGCATAAGCTTGTGGAATCAATGCCATGACAAATGTGCACCATAATCAAAGCTGAAGGCGGTCCAATGAAAAATTCAAATGGTGACTTTTTTTTGATCAAACTAGGTATTAAAAACACCACAAAGCACCAAAGTTGGCAGAGTTAATTCAGTCCAACAGGACTCAGACACTCTCAGCATTGCTGTTCTGGCTGACACGGGTCAGCAGGTGTACTAGTAAATTTCACACTGTATTTCCCAGCCTATTTCGCAGGCCTCTTTCTGTATAGTTCCTGATAATCATGCCCTGCCTCTCTGATAACCCAGTCAGATCAGCCGAAGAGCCCTATGCTGCATACACATATGCGGGGCTGCTGCTTTATCTGTCACGTCAGTTACCATGCATCCACCAAATCAAGCGCATGTGTGTGAGACAGGGGAGGCGGGGCTTCGGGGATAGAGAGTCATGTGACTGGGGTTTTTCCTGTCAATTCCTATCACATGTTCCTTGCTTATGTCTGATTTACTTGATGGGTTCTTTCCTTTTCAGAATACCTGTCCCAATCCTGATGCTCTGTTCCAATTTCTCCGCGGGATGTTTCAGGTTAACCTTATCTTAAATTCCTGATGCCTTAATTTAAGCCTAGTACTTGTGTGCTTTTTCATTTTATATTTTAACAAGTTGGAATTTTCTTTTTGGGTAAATTACTAGTATATTTTATTTAATTATTAGTAGTTCAGTCTATTTTTGTAAAAAATGTTTATTTAGTAATTAGCAATGACTATTTTTATGACATTACACATACATTCATTGAATTAATAGACACTTGTGTCCAAAGCAACAGACAAACTGTGGAAAGCAACAGCAATATGATAACTCTGCTACTCATGAGAATCAAACCCATGACCTTCCGGACTCTGGCACAGATACCTAAGCCGCTGAGCTACACACCGCCAGTATCTATGAAAAACAATCCTGTGCACGTATGTGCATGTATTACGGGATCTCCATTGTGACTCAACAGCTAGTCAGGCATAAGGGACTCTCCTGCTTGGACAATCCACACGTTTACTGCTACACTGTAACTGTAGAAAGGCTCAAGCAAACTGATAAATTTCTCCATTACAGGTTGAGATAAATAGCTATTGCTATCCTTTACTGGCTGCACAGCATATTTTGACAATGGCTCAGAAGCACCGTAGTTATAGTGATTATAATAAATGATCTACCCTCAGGAAAAATGCTGGAGCAGCCAGGAGAAACTGCACACAAATCTTTAACAATATTAAAGATAGTTAGTTCAAATCAAATAAATGCATTTTAATCACTGACTCTGTGTTCGAAAACTTATGCTTGACACAAACAGGTCAAACTTTGCACTTTCAATCAATGCTTGATTAAACCTTGTAGTAACCAATAAGGTAACCAATACAAACCGCACTAGCTATGATTAATGTAGCGTGATAAGTTTACCAATTGTTTTTTGAAGATTTATTTCTCTAACTACTATTAAAACATCTTCCTAAATGTTTAAACCTGGAATTAATGCATGAATGCTGCTAATCTCAAACGTCCAGCACGCTAACTCCACCAGGCCACAAAGATGCAAATCCCAGTGATCTAACCAGTAAACCACTCAGTTCTGGAGTCCAAAGCCTAAACAAAACGACTCATAATCAATGTAACATAGAACAATGTCAGGTTTTTAAGTTCATTTAAAAGTAAAATTATTCTGCGTTGCACATAGTGGTTTATACACTAGAAAATGTATTAAAACAATAGGGATCCAGCACTGCTGGAGCCTGGATCCCTAAAAAAGATTCAATGTAACAGATCAGCTTCCAGTATAAGCCATTTCTTTAGAAAATCTCAAACTCCTGACCACACCGACATGGCCTTTCATCAACATCTATACCACGAAAACCTTTCCTCCGTCTGATTTAGCATCTCTTCACTTGGTTTCCGTTCCATTCCGTTTAGAGCAGGCATATGAGACAGTTAAACATGCTTAGAGAAATTCCAGCGTAAATGGGGTAACTGGTAAGGAAATGGAGCACCCAGTGGTGCAGCTGGAGCCACAGAAGAGAACCTTCAGGACCACAAGACACTGCAATACTCCTAGAAAGCAATGCTGAGCACCGGGTTGGTTTTTGTGTTCTGATTCAGTTGATGCTAAATACCTTAATATGCATTACAGCAACAGGAGCTAAAATTAAAACAATGAAAATCACATAACTAGGGCTATTACTATCAATATTAAAAATCGTGTAATCTACCCATTAAGCTGACAATTCATCAATTGTTTATATATAATATAATATAATATAATATAATATAATATAATATAATATAATATATTGCAATTTGGGCAGGGCAGGAACCAACCACACACTGCAGGGTGCACACGCAGTCACACATGCAACAGATCCGCCACACACACACACAGGGTGAACATGCACACACACACACAGGGTGAACATGCACACACACAAAGCGGTGGTGTGCGGGACAGCGGTAGCAGGTGCGCCACTGTACTGCTAGGCTTGCACAATATGCAATGTTAAAATCAACATGGCATTTCATGCACATGCAGTTGTCACATTGTGATAGCCTGCGATAATCTGCTGGGTTCAAACAATAAACAAGTTGCGCTAAAACATTTTTACTGAGTCAAAGGAAACTAAACTTGCGCTTGGCAATTTTAACAATGGTTTTGTTTCAGCATTATCTAGTATAGGTTTAAAAATTGAGTATAAAGTTTACTTTTGCTGCTTTTACAAGAGCATTGCATGCGATCTCTGAGACATGTCATTTTCATCCTTGATGCTGGACTGACTCGTAGACTATGTGGCGTGTTTGTGAGAAATTAAACAAAAAATCAGTGAAGAGGAGTAAAGCAAACAAGAACTGGTCATAATCGTATTCCATTCTACAGAAATATTTTGTATTCCATAGTGACAGTATTGAGCAACAGCAAGTGATTTGTCGACACTGCTTTGTATCTGTTGGCACAACTCAGGACAACACCAATAACTTCTTTGACATACTATTAGTAGAGAAGTTCTACATTTGGCTATGTATAATTTCAACTTCTAAATATCACAATGTGATTTTTTTTCAAGTATCGTTCAGCCCTACTCAAAAAACACTATATGTTACCAAAAAATTATACATATTAATAGGTTATTATGTACCGTATTATGCAAAATGTGACCGGGCTAACCTTCATTTTAACTTCGTTTTTGTATGCATACCTTAACATCCTAACATCCCTTAACAGCTGTAATATACATTAATAACAAGCATTGTATAATAATAACAAACATTATAATTGTATAATCATGTAATGCTTGCTATTAATGTATAATGTATAGCTGTTAAAGGATTTTAGGATGTTAAGATGTAATTGCATGCTGCTTATGAATGTTCTATGAATGCATAATGAACGCATTATGAAGGTGCACTTAATGTAAAGTGTTACCAAATAGTTTGATTGATGATTTTAATAATCGAGTAATCAAGTTTAATCGAATAATCGTGACAGCTCTACACATAACATTTAGAGAATCACTAAAGGTGTGAGTGTCTGTTTTTAGAAGTCACAACCAGGTCAGAGGTGTGTAGGCCACTGAAAGTCTGTCTGCATTTCTCACCAGTGGTGATAAACAAGGATCAGCTCCATTTTACTTTGCTTGATACTGTAGCTTTGCTTCATAATAACTGTGCTGAAGTATTATTTCACTGCTTTGCTACGTCTCCATCCATCTGTGTTTCGAAGGGAGCTGATCATCACATGTGAGTGACAAAAAAGAACCACAGTGGCTTCTCTCTCCCATTCACGTTAAATTATGAGCAAATAATTAGCAGAAGCAATTAAATCCAACTGGGAACCTCTCCTGTCATAAAAGCA